CTCAAAGCGCGCCTTTTGTTGGTAGTCAGCTATTCAAGAACTCTTCATCGGCAACTATGCATTCAGACCACAGCTCTTCAACATTCATCTTGTTGTGTTCTGAACAGGGAAGGATGCACTCCTTACTTCAGGATGATTCCTTTACAGATACGGGGATAACCTTCATTGTAGCCTTCCGTTTATCGTTATGTATTGTACTTCACACGTACCTGAATCCAGACTGTGTCAAACAAATCATTTTACGACAATCGTTATAAAAAAGGAAAGTTCCGCGATTTGTTTGTGAATGGAATACTACTAGGTTGCCCAGACCGAGGCAATGCACAACCGGAGCCGTTGGCTAGCCAAAGCCTTACTCGGAAGACAGCAGGACAGTATGTGAAAACCGCAATCCATTGGGGCCGGTGTCCACTTCGTCGGATCTTTCGACCTTTGGACGGTGTCAAACGTCCAAGGTGCCCAAGACAACTGATGCCAAATTGAGTCGATGGCCACTGCCACAACCAAGAAGTTGTGGGTGAGTGTGGTTCTAACGCCTCTAGGTTGGTTTGGAATCAGGGTTTTAGTCAATCCGCCAAGGCGAACTGCCAGTGGTTCCCTACTCGGTTATAGCTCGGGATATCGGCTTTTCGTCTTTTCACTCTGGTGCAAAAGAACACCTCTGACACGGGAAGACAGGGAGTAGGGATTCGTCAACAGAAACTATTAAGACACTTCGTCGTAAAGTATCATTTATCGCGGTGCAGAGGAAAGGTGACCAGCTACAACAATCCAAGACACCCAACCCTGACCATACTGAGGCTTTCGGAAGCTTCTGTTCATTACAGAAAAATTGATCTTCAGCTGAGAGATGACGGCACGTCCCGAATGTGAATTAAGGTCAGTTGAGTAGTCTCCACGAAAGCCCGGGTGTTTGATGGTGTTTCGTTGTATTTTGGAAATTGCGAGCACAGTTCCGGGCGGTTTGATACATTTCTGTATGTTTTCTTTTGATAGAGCGGGTTTCTCTTTTTTCAACAGTGTATCGACTGTCCTAGATTCTTTAATCTTGCAACTTTTTTGGTTTCACAAATTCATATTCCTGGTCCGAATCAAATGTCGATCCATGTTTTCAACGCATTCCAATTGGAACTAGATCAAAGCCAGGAGAGTTCATGTGACACTGGGGTGCCATCCAGTTGCGTTCTACCAGCTAAGCTACAGGATGTTTTAAAAAATGATTAATCGCGTGGCCTGTGAAGAATATTCCGTTCTAGTTCACCTCAATGTCAACTGAATTTGGTCGAGAAATGACTGTTATTAAAGATAGTTATCGTGTTGGCATGCTTCTTTGTACAGTGTATTCTATTTGGCAGTATTTCGGAATTTGTTGGCTAGACATTGTGTATGACAATGCCATCACTGTACATGTAATTTTCTTCAAGCATGTTCAGCGCAGTTGTGCGCCTTTTGCGTGCAACAACTACTGAAACGTGTTCACTGCTGTCCTTAAATTGTGCTCCATACCACGCACACTGCTGGTGCAGCCCATCGGGCGTAGAATCTGTGCCCCATTACGCAGCGGCAGCAGCAGAACCCTTGGGACAACAATAGGCCATGATCATGTTGATCTGAGCGTACAAATTCGATTAGATCACTTGTTTTAGTTTGCAAAGCTATATTTTTTCCCATTTTGAAGGTTTCATTGACCTTGACTGAATAATGCACATGCATATGTACATGATGACAGATGTTTGCAATGTGTCCGTAATCCGTCGATCAGATTTACGAGTTC